ATTTTTCGGGATTCTGGATGGTTTCCATAATGTTGTTGTTGTGGGTGACTTTAATGCACACGTTTCGTCTTGGTCTAGTGTATCGGTTGCGTATAACGAGGTAGGTCGCAATCTTGAATCTGCTATCGCTATCTCTAATTTTATCAATATTGGATGTGATTTACCGACTTGGACATCTTTTGATGGTTCTTCTAGATCGGTTCTAGATTATATTTTTGTTTCCTCTTCTCTTGCTTTGTCTACCTTTTCTTCGGTTATGAATTATAACTTTTGTAGTGATCCTAGATTTGAGGCTTTCACGGCCATTGATACAATGTCTAGATATAGCTTCCGGAATGGAGCCGTGTCTTGAATCAGCGATATGCCGACGTTTCGCAAACGTTGCAATTTGCATCATCAGGGCTGAGAACTCTGATACTGAGCTCCCTTGGGTAAAGGTAGTCCTTATATGCCCCCCTCCCCCCCCTTGTGTAGATGGTGTTTAGGGAGTAGGCGACGAGGCTTGAATCCAGCCAATCAGCGTATTTTAATTGATCAGCTGGTCAATTAAAAAACCGGGAGGGCAGTATGCCAAATAGAGTTTACTTGCATACCTTTGTCTCGGTTGAGGTTGTTGGGATGTTTCAAAATTTCTAGACCTTCACGATGTTTTCTGGCAAAATAACTCTGTGAGGGAGCCAATCTGGTGGCTTTTTCATATTGTACGGAGTGTCCAGTCTCCATCCAGTGTTCAGCTAGGGCTGATTGAGTAAAGTGACCATACTTGGTACATCGCTGGTGTTCCTTGATTCGCGTACTGATCTTCCTCCCGGTTTCTCCTATATAAACTTTACCACAAGAGCAAGGGATCTTATATACACCTGATGTTTCTAGGCATGATTTCTGATCCTTCGGATTTGGGAGTAAATGGGAGAGCTTCCTATGAGGTTTGAAGATTACTTTGATTTTGTGTTTACCCAAAATCCTGCTGATAGGTTCTGTTATGCCCTGGAGATATGGAAGGACAGCCGTTTTTCTCTTTTCTCTCTCTTCATCTAGTGTGTCAGTGTTTTTAGGACTGACAATTCTGTTCTTCTGGTTTTTTATTATTTGCGAGATGTTTTTGCTGTTGTATCCATTTTTAGTTAAGGCTGTACTGAGGTGTTCTAGTTCTCCATTCAGAGAAGATGGTTCCGAAATTGTGAGCGCTCTGTAAACCAATGAACTTATGACAGAATTCTTTTGCGAGGGATGATGATGAGAGGTTGCATGTAGATATCGGTCCGTGTGTGTTGGTTTTCGGTAGACCTGGTGACCTAAGGTGCCATCTTGGTTCTTTTGGACTAGCACATCCAGGAAGGGTATTTGATTATTTTGTTCCACTTCCATTGTGAACTGAATACTGGGATGTTGTGAATTGAGAAACCCGAGAAACTGAGAAAGAGTTTCCCTGCCATGATTCCAAATTACGAAAGTATCGTCCACATACCGAAACCATGTGGATGGTTTCAGTGGTGCGTTCCTCAAAACTTTATTCTCAAAGTGTTCCATAAAGATGTTTGCAATGATAGGAGATATAGGAGATCCCATCGCCGCTCCAGAGGTTTGTTCGAAAAACTCTCCTTGGAACTGAAAATAGGTTGAAGTTAAGCAGTGTTCTATTAGTGGGAAGAAGTTGGCAGGAATTTCCTCGGAATTCTTGATGAGGTTCAAAGTATCCTGGACTGGAACATTGGTTAACAGTGAGACTACATCAAAACTCACCAGGATATCATTAGTATTCATCTTGATTTTTGTGATCTTATTCACCAAATCTGTTGAATTCTTGATATGGGAATCATTGAGACCAGTAAGTTTCTGGAGGGGTTTGGTGAGATAGCGGGCTAACTGGTAGGTAGGTCCCCCAATATTGCTGACAATGGGGCGTAAGGGCACTGATTCCTTGTGGATTTTTGGAAGACCGTAGAGTCTAGGTGCTGAAGAATCTTGAGGGGTTAAATACTTGATAGTTTGAAGAGGGAGACCTGCATTTTTCAGAAGAGA